ATTCCATTCTCCTAGTAGTAAGCTAGACTAGTTATTAATAAGTTAATAACTAGTTTATTTTTTTTAAAAAATATACTAGAATACTAGTTAACTAGTTATTAATAACTCCTTATAACTAAAAAGAAAAACTAGAGATACCTTATTACTAATTAATTTATAACTAATTTATAATTAATTAGTTTCTTCCTTAGCCTCCTTCTTACTAGTCTTTATATTACTAAGTAAGCTCTTCTTACTATCTTTCTCTTTCTTATCTTTCTCCTCCTCTTCTTCCTTAGTAAAGAAGTTAAAATTACTATACTAGGTATAAGAGATATTAGAATAGTATTCTAAGGACTAGTTAATAACTAGTTAGTAACTAATTAAGAGAGATAATAAAACTTATTTTTATTTATTTTCTTTACCTTATACTTAGTATAAGAGACTAATACCCTAAAGCTCTATACCTACTTCTTTATCTTAGTAATATTTATCTAACTAGTTAGTAACTAGTTAAGAACTAGTAAATAGGGAGTACTTATAGTGCTATCCTTCTTTTTAGGGATGGGAGACAGCTTAGATATATTATTAAGTAGGTTAATATAGTTATTATAAAGCTTTTAATATTATTCTATAACTAGTTAGTAACTAGTTAGGAACTAATTAAGAATAGACTTACTAATAGTATTTTACTACTCTTTAATTATAGAAGGACTACTAGTACCCTTCTTAATCTTATATATAGTATATAACTTTAAAATATACTTTTTAAGATTATTTAATAAGGAGTATGCCTCCTAAAAAAGAACTAGTTAGTAACTAGTCTATATAAAAGATAGGTATATATATACTATAGCCTTTAGATAGTTAGGAACTTAGTAGAATATCTCTCTAGTAAAAAGAATAATAAAATTATTCTCCTATTAACTAGTTAGTAACTAGTTAGTAATTAGTTAGAAGGGTAACTTATATCTTTAGTATATACTAGAAGGGTAAGCTTATCTAGCCCTAACTTAAGGTACTAGATATATATATCCTATAGTTTAGTTAGTATTCTAACTAGTTTAGAACTAGTTAAATAGTTAAGAGTAGTACTTACAGATTTCTTTATAAAGATTATTATAAATATAAATTAGTTATAGACTAGTTAATAAAAGAATAAGGAGTAGATATATAAACTAGTTCCTAACTAGTTATAAACTAGTTATCTACTAGAATTATAAGATAATAGTAAGATAATAGTAAGATTTACTAAACTAGTTCCTAACTAGTTAGGAACTAGGTGCATTGCTAGAATTATAAAATAAAGATAAGATAAAGGTAAAATAAAGATAAGAGTATTTAAAAAGTAGAAGACCTACCTTTAGGAAGAAGGGAGGTAATAATAAGAATAGTAGAGGAAGAGAGAAGGAGAATAGACTAGTTATTAACTAAGTAATAACTAGTTATTAAAAAAAAAAGTAAAAGAGGGGGTAGGGGGGAGAGATAAGAGATATATAAGAAGATAAGTTATTATAAGAAGGTTAGCTAATCTTTTAAGTAGAGTTAAGTTATATAATCTAGTCTTATCTTATTCACTATCTCAGCTATCTCAGCACTAGCCAAACTTTTCTGAAAGGTCAGCTGACCTGTAGTCACCAATGGGAGTTCTCTGCGACTCCTGAATCCTGCAGGATTCCCCCATGGTCTATCCTGATCCCTGAGGCCAAAATTCTCCTTCCGGAGAGTTGACTGGGGAAAAGTAAGCAGATTGCAGGTCACATTGCCATACAGTACCTGCCCTCGTGTTTCTGTAGTACATTGTACTATTCAAACCTGATCGTTTTCTTGCTTAAAAAATTTACTGGGAGAAAATAGTGATTTGCAGCAACACGCCGCGAGATTCGGAGTAACTGTTTGTTTGCTCAGGTTCAGCCAGCCTCATCTGCTCCCGGACGACGCTTTTCTGCTAGTATTTTAAGCCGAACCTTCTTGTGGATGGATGTTTACCAACAGGCTTGATGCATATACACGTGGCCAGCGTCTCCTAGAGTCACTAGACCAGATCAAAATTGGAAGACTTTCAGACTCTCCAGCGTCTCTGCGCACGTTTAATCCTCTACAACCCTTTTACAGGTGCAAATCCAATGATAGTGGTGTTAAGGGTTGGCCTTGCATCTTCCAGAGTTTCATGAACCAAAGGATTAGCTCGTCTGGACTTTTCGAACCTGAACTATAATTTTTTTTCAGACTTTTGCTCTGTCCGCTCTGTCCTGTCGCAGCGTCTTCACGTCACTTATTCCTATGAAGCATCCGCATTGGCCATATGAACACGGTTAAGTATATTAAAGCTTATTCTCAATGCTAATGTTCTGCTAAGGTACACACTAGGGGACTCCGCTCCGCGGACTTCACCTTCTGTCGGCATCTGTCCACTTCACTCTCTAGGTTTGTTGGTCAAACAGGAGAAGTACCAATGTCAAAGGAGGCTTCCCCAGAGAAGACCTCCAGCTCAGACACAAACGTGTTCCATAGACGCTCAGAAGCCATCGGCGCACTACTGTATGGCGCCGCTCCTGCTTCATACACGAGCCTTTCCAGGTCTGGGAGTAATGCGTCGGCAGCTTGGGCTTCCATCTCCCTCTGGGCTCTTCGGCTGATACCGCCCTGCTCCGTGTACCATGCGGAGTCTTCCAGAATAACACCGCTTTCGTAGAGAGCGCAGAGCTTGGAGTCAATGTTTGTCTCCTTCGCTGCTTCCAATGCCATTCGATGACCAATGGCCTGGATCAGTGGAAGCGAGAGCGGGAGGATATTGCGGTTAAAGTCTTCGCTTCGATGCATGCCGCCAAATTCTATCAGATGAGTTTTTGCCTCTGTCCACAATGCGGCTTCGTGCAGAGCAACGGGACTGTTGGGATCTTTGGGGGACGGGAGCTGGTAGCGGCCGATCAGTAGCTCGCTTGCGAGTCCTGCAATGTGGTTCTCCACGTCAGCACAAGCTCAAGACCTAAAATCAAGAGGAGGCAGCAGGAAACGTACGAATGGCAAGGACCCTGATGTCGCCTTCTGCGGTCCCTACTGCTCGGAATTCCAGCTACAAGTAGATCGTCAGCATTCCGCGCGGATAAGGGTTCGGTTTTCCTTACTTCAGATTGAAGGATTTGATTATGTTCGTAATATCCGTGCCAGCCACACCCGTCATTCAAGGCTTTGATGCTCTTCTGAAAGTGCTGCAACGCAGCAGCCTTGAAGACAGTCGCGATGGCGTGGCGCACGCGCGGATCGACCTTTCTATTCCGGAAAATGGTGGCGGCTTGTACGAGGAATGCCTGGAGCACATGGTACTGCGCGATTGCGTGGAGGATGGGGAGGTGCTGGGTGCGGAACTTTATGACGGCCATTGGATTTCCGTCGTGGCCTGTGACCCTCCGTCGCAGACTGAATTGGGCCGCATTGTATACTGCAAGTTTGAGGGCAGGGATGGAAGCACCCGACAGAAATAGCGTCCCGGCTGAGACGCGCTGGATGGTGGAAAAGAAGTGATCCCGTTCGTTTCGTGGTTTTTCAAGGCTCCCTAAGAGAGCAGAGTTGGGCAGCACAACCCGGTTGAAAAGGGTGAGCGAGTGGTCGATGGGATGAGCACCAGCGCGCGGAGGTAGGGCCCTTAGTGGCCAAATAGTCAGTATAATCGTGCGCAAGGGGGCAAGATCAGAGACTCACTTCGCAACCACGCCTTTGCACATCTCGCGACCATCTCCCAAGGGCACTAGGAATGGCCGGACCCCATAGTTCTCACCCTCCACGATCAGCCGGGCGATGACAACGGCAACGACTGGAAGTCCGCTTCTTGGTGTCGTCGGTGGCATACACCTGTGTTTTTAAGTTAGGGCTGGATTGAACAGGATATGAGATCACTAACTTTGCTGCGGCCCAGGAAGGGCTGTGGAGCTCGAAGCCACCGTCTGGCAAGAGTGTCGCAGTCGTTTCTAAGTTTCGCGCGTCTAATCCATGGCCGACCTCGGTGAGCATAAACTGCGCTCTGGGGGAAACTTTGAGTCAGCCCGTACTCGCTAGTTAGTGACTATGTTCCATGAGAGCGGTGCTAACGAGATCTCAAAGCTCAAGGCACGCTGGAGGATCCACTGAAGGTCCGGCCGGCTAGCTGCGAATGGAGCCACAGTGCCCATAAATAGATTGTACTGGATACTAATCAAAGTCAAAGCTCCACCGTCAACTGCAGCGATTGGGTCCGTCTGTAGCTTCCAAAACTTCGGACTGAGCAATAAAATGTCTTCCACCGTCAAGCCTAGTCTTGCTTAGCTGGTCATCAGGAAGGGAGGGGCACGGAAGGTTAGGGCCGTACTGTATGCATCGCAAATTTTCTTGGCCCTTTCGTATGTGAGCCTGGTGCGCTCTTCCAGGGTCAGGAAATGTGCTGGTTTTTTGAACAAAGGCGATTGAGCCAGCTCAAGAGTAGGTGAGGGCGACTGCCACACCCAGTCATAAAGGGTTTGGTCCGGCTGATTCAGTTGGTCCGCATCGAATGGTTTTGGTTCTGGTGGCAGCATATTGTGATCGGTGGTCTTCAAGCTGTCGAGATTGATGAATGTGCATCCCCATAGTTCCCTCCCAGCGAGTAGCGGATATTTATACACGACCGGTAGTTGCGTAGACGTTGTCCACGTCGATAATGGAAACACCTCAGCTGTTGCGAGATTTGCTGAAGAACCAGGTCGTGGATGGTGATTGGTTTCCCATGCACGACGCCAGACCCGCCGCAAACATGTTTGTGGCTGGCGGAGGCATACGGACATCGCCGTAATCGAGACAATAATGTGAAGCGAAGGGGAACCGAGAGCTGAATCCAGCTGTACACAATAGGGAATGGGTGCATGTAGGGCATGCACCTGACACATAGTCGGGTTCGGCTTTTACCGTACACTAATGTAGTGTTCAGCTTGAGAGTCTAACACTCCTATCATAAAGGCCTGGGCCCCAGAACAAGTCTCAGTTATCGTCACTTATCCAGCAAAGTCAAAATGTACGTCGCAGCAGTACTTTCTATGATGGCGGCCCATTGGGCTGCCGTTATCATCAGTTTCGCAATCTGTTATGTCAGAACTGTCTCCCAATCAAGTAGATGAATCTAACGCCTTCCTAGTTTATCGGCTCTGCGATCTATAACTTGTACTTTAGCCCGTTGGCAAAGTATCCCGGCCCGTTGTTCGCAAGAGTCTCTGCCCTTCCAGATTTCTACTGGTCTCTAACCGGTGACCGGCATATGTGGATTGCGCGCAATCATGAGATCTATGGGGATGTGGTTCGCTTTCGCCCTGACGGCCTCCTCTTTAGAACCCCTCAGGCCTACCGAGATATCTTCAACGCCAAAGCCAACGTCAAGCGAGCCAAGTTCTACGACATGATGACGCGGAATAAACATGACACGAGTACCATCACTGGGACAGACCCAACCCTCCATGCTCAGAAAAGGCGGGTTCTAAATACTGTCTTCTCGGAAAAGTCGCTTCGTTCAATGGAGCCATTCCTGGTTAAGCATGTGGCACGCTGGTGTGAGCTCCTCATTGATGGAGATGGCACGGATTGGTCGACTCCACGGAAAATGTCCGATGCATGCGACTATCTGGTCCTGGATGTGCTATGTGACCTCTGCTTCGGGCAGTCTGTCGATACCAAGGAACCCGGTGAGAATGAATATCGTAAGATTCCTCATGCGATTGGCTCGTTTCTCCAGGTCCTTTACCCGGTATGCTTCCCATCTTAACTGCAGGCAGGCTATATAACTGACAACCCTGAAGCTTGGTCATTCTCCATGGCTAGACCTTGTCGTCTGGTTAAAGCCAAGAGGCCTCGATTGCGTGTTTGGGGCCCTGACTCCTCCGCACATTCAATTTCTCTACGACTTTGTGAAACAGTCGTTAGCGCAGCGTCTCAAGGTCGAGAAAGAAACCCCGTCGCCGGGACAGGAAGGCCGAGGAGACATGCTTCACTATCTGATACATGCGAAAGACCCTGCAACCGGTCGCGTGGGGTACACTCCAGAAGCGCTGGAAGCCGAGGCAATAATGCTCACGATTGCCGGTTCCGATACCACCTCCGTGATCATGGCCGGGTTCTTCTTCTATATTGTGCGGACGCCTCGTGCTTATCGGAAGCTTGTTAATGAGATAAGATCCACCTTTAGCTCCGTCGATGAGATCCGAAGCGGCCCGAAACTGACGTCCTGCCAATACCTTCGGGCTTGTGTGGATGAGGCGATGCGCATTACGCCTGCCGGACCATCTGAGTTGCCCCGGATTGTGCTGCCTGGAGGCATCATAGTTGCTGGGGACTATATCCCCGAAGGAACAACTGTTGGTGTGGCGCATTGGAGCTTTTACCGCAATGAGGAGTACTTCCCAGACCCCAACGTCTATCGCCCCGAACGATGGATAGTGGATGAGGAGACCGGAGTTACTACGGAAGATGTGGCCAGGGCGCGGTCTAGTTGTTTTCCATTTGCTGCTGGCACGACCGGCTGTGCTGGGAAGAATTTTGCCCTTGTGGAACTTTACATGACCATTGCAAGCACATTGTGGCAGTATGACGCGCGTTTACTTCCAGGAGACATGACAGGGGCTGGCAGCAAGACGCAAGGATGGGGAAAGAGGAACCCAAATATTTTCCACGTCAAGGACAAGTATATCAGCGTCAGGGATGGGCCGATGGTTCAGTTTAAGAAGCGAGTAGCTTAGATCTATGAACAAAAAGATTAGTGCGTCAATAACATCTACTAAGTTATTGATGGAGTATTAACGCTGCCATACCGACTTAAAATAGATGGCTGCTTTTCAAAATGCATGTTTCCGAAATATTATCATTTTTCCGATCCAGTGCTGAATGACAACCTGTACTACTGGAGGATATCTATCGTACTCTACTCATTGATGGATGAAGAATTCCACAATGACGTACTTCAAGGCGTTTCTATTTGGAGAGACAAGCCAACTGAGTGTCTGTGCCAGATCTACTCGTGAGTCGCAGAGCTGGACATAGCTATACCTAATAATATCCATGCGAATAAGACCAGGGAGAAGGTCGCTCAGGCCCTATAGCGCCGCCAGAGCAAATATCAACTTCAGCTCTTGATGGGTCTGGTCCAACACATCTTCCTTTCCAGTTACTAAATCTGACCCGTACAGATAAAGGGAAAAGCCGATACAAAGTATTATCTGCCCTACTGCATCAAAGGAACGAGTGCCTGTGGATGGGTTTCTTTTCCAAAGGCGAGGAATATGTTCCATTAATACCTATGCTCTTGACACACTGTTACAGCAAAAGCAGTCCCCAGTGTGGCTTGTTTATGGAGCCCAAAATGCAGCTCGCCACCTGCAATCAAATCCATACTGCTCTCGGCGCATTGGACATAAAAGACTATGCTTGACTGGACGACTCACCTCAAATTCGCGCTGAAGAAGCTAATGAACGCTGCTTCACAATGCTCAACTATACATCCCACGTCCGTTGACAGTATGACAGTTAATTTTGTTGATTGGCTGTTGTTCTCCCACAGTTTCGCTTGTCGTACCCGCCTAGCGATGTTTGTCATATAGTGTAGATAGGGGAACCTTCCTTTGCCAACTCAGAGCCAGGTGGGAGCACTAACTTTGTATTGTACTCTGATTTACTTGCTTGAGCTTCGAGGCTCAAGAGTTACCATACAAATACGGAGTATGGACCGAAAGTCTCATGTCCTGACTACATTTGGAAAATTGTGCCACAAATGCGGCCCAAATTAATGTATTACTGCCCTAAGGTGGTTTTAAACACAGCTAACTGCAGGATTCCTACACCTGCCGCTTATCGCAGTAATTCTTCTTCTTAATTACATTATAACTGGATCATTATAAGCCATAACTGATAGCTTGATACTAGCGGCTACTCTAGCCCTTCAATAATTGAGTGATCTGTTGACTTATGGTTATGTGACAAATCACAGGGCAGCTAGCTGGATTATTGAAGGCGTGGGAGAACTCTAAATGTGTTCCAACTACTCTGCAGTCTGCACTAGCTGGTGTCTCTGATCATAGATCTAGCCATAACCTTGCGCTAGGCCTGTGACGTTGCTGAAAGTCTCAAGATGTCGCCAGCCAGCTATCCTCTGCTGCTCCGCAAGCCCATCTGGCGCTTTGTTGGCAGCCTGAACCAGTGTCCTCTTTACTAGCAGGGGCGCTGGGCATTTTACTTGTACATTTACAGAATCATGTTCGCTAAATCGCTAGTGGCAGATCAGATACACTGTACATTTGTTGCACCAGGTCCAGAATACGAGTCACGATGCATCCTCATCGAGAAGAACCGGGGTTTGCCGCAAGGAATTTGCAATTAGATTTATCTGTGATGAGCGAACCAATTTGCGGGAGGTAAAACCGTTCAAGAAAGTATAAATGGACCTGTACCACGTCACTTTCGCAAAGACAGTCCGCCTCTAACTTCCTAGAAGCCTGTAGATCTATGCTTTCCCTTCTTCCATATCTACTACCTGGGTTGTAGTAGTTTGCCAAACACCCTCATCTTTCCTCGAGAAGTTTGCCTATCTTCGGCAGCTAAGCAACCAAGATGGTCAAAGTTACCCAATTCATGTCTCTCACCACCATGCTTGGTGCACTTGCACAAGCAGCATCACCTGAAGTAAGCACTACATGTTCCAAAAGATTCGGCTATAAGAGCATTATTAACCTTCCATAAAGATTGTTTTTTGCACAGATGCCAACCTTGGTGGTACTTGCCTTTCCTTGCCAGTAGTCCCTGATCAATGCATCGACTTCAACGGAGGCCTTAGCCAGCTGTAAGTATTCTGACCAGCCGGGAAACTGTTGATAGTCATGGCTAGGCAGAAGATGGTTTTGACTAACTACCGTCTATTTCTTTGGCATAGTTACCACAACACTTCCTCAGTAGTAGTCCCAGATGGCTTTCTCTGTTCGCTCTCTAGGTATGTACAGGCCAAGAACCACCTTGACTAGATGCGCCTCTTCTGATAATATTAAGGGAATACGGTTGCACCGATTCTCAAGTCTCCCTCACTTCTGGATCTTATAACCTAGCTTCTCTGCCTTCTGACTCTGGTTCCGTCACCAATTTCGATGATTTAACGGGCAGCTTCACTTGCAGCCCTATTTGAAGGGGATAGGAAAGGGTGCCCTTTGAGACTGGCAGGTTAACATGGGCGCATACACTCAATTTATGAGCATATCCAGTTTGTCTAGGTGCATTTGCGCTTTTGTATAAGCCAGTCTTTTAAGCCCATCCTTGATTGTCCTCATGACCACTTATCTCTTTGCAGTCTTCGTTTTATTTCCCAGACCTCTCCGGTTGAGCTCCTTGTCAGCTTGCCGCTGCTATTGCCTGGTAAATGGAGATTAATGCATGAGGCAACAAAGGTCTTCTTTGCTCTGCGTGAGTTATCTGCTGCTAGCCAGGTGTCTTGTGTGTCTTGAATGCGCTCACCCAGCTAGGTCAGTGGCGACTAATATCAGGCAAGCCGATCTGCACATGCTGGTTGATATTCTTGTCATTACATGTCATAAGCGGGGTAATCAAAGACCAAAGTACTTGGTATAGGAGCGTCCATGGGCATCTTACTGTTGTAATTTATTGTCTGAATGATTTAGTTTTACAGTGTCTGTTGCTCACATAATATTACTGGTATCACGAAGTGGCCTATTATATATAGCTTTATGAGCTCTAGTTCTAATATATATCATGTAATATCCATAGACTATGCAGAGAATACAGTTATTTGAGCAACTTTGTGAGATTCATGAGATCATCAGACTCGCCCATTAATCCATTAAAGCGTTCACTAGAGTATAGCTATACTGCTACTAGTCACGATTCACAGATCCAGTCCCAAGATCGTCATGGTTTCTAAATTAAGACACCCCACCAATAATAACTAACAAGTGTGCCAGACAACATGAGTAAGCCTCAAAATCCAAGCTTAGCTTGGGCACTCAAATCAATGATCTACAGATCTCAAGCTATAGCCTGTCAGCGCTGAGCGGGTGGAGTATGGGGGGCCTGAAAGAAGCATCAGCCACAACCGCTGACAGCAACATGTAGTCATGTAAGCACCATACAGTCGGCGAGCAGCTTGTGCGCCTGATTCAGTGTCTCACTTGGAAAGGGCCGGAGCCATTGAGATACATCGAGATCGCCGAAATGATGCTATCCATGCCTTCTCAGCCACAGGATCCGTCATATACGGCGTGATAATTATAGAATCTCTGACTTCACCTGGGCTTAATGTCTTAGCTGACTGTGAATATCTGCTAGTTGACAGGATATATACTCAATCGCAGTAGCAGTGTACAACATATAAATATCATCTCCCTTCCTGACCTTAAATCATTATTCCCATTATCTTCACATCATCAAATCCTCTTCCTCTCATCCAAGTTTAATAACATCTACACAATGAAGCCCACCATCGCCTCAATCCTCCTGGCTGCTAGCTCAGCTCTTGCAGTTCCCACCAACATCAAGCGCGACAGCTATATCCAAATCAGCGACCTCTGGGCCAAAGCTGCCCCCTCGTCCCCCGGCGCATTCATGCACTTTGTCGTTACCGATCCAAACTACCCAGAAGACACACCCACCGACTGCAACCTAATCTGGTAAGTCCACGCCCCCTCGTCGATAATACCAGACTAACCAGCACTTTTCTTGTCATTCAGGACCTATGGCGACCTTCCTAAGACAAATGCCCGCTGCAACAATGGCGAATATTACATCAAGTTCCCCAATGGCGCTCCCGACTTCAACTGGTTCACGCTGGAGCTTCAGAGGGTCAGTGGCTCCATCGCTGAAGATGGGCATGTCTTGCTGAGTTCGAACGCGAATGGCGCCGCGCCTGGAACCAAGTGGATTTGCGTGAACGACCCGGAGCCAGGGATTGAGATTAGCTGTTCTTATGATGGGGTTCTTCAGATGGAGGTTTCTTAAGGCCTGCGCATGAGGGTACTGTGAGAAGCGCGCTAGTTCGCTAATGTGGGATTTGCGTTCATTCTCAGGGACGCTTTTTCTGTTTCTGTCCTTTATCCATTGTTTTTGTGTATAGAATATAGTAATATATGTTTTCCTCAATCCTTGTTGACTCAGAAAGCTTTATACTTCAGTCGGAAGTTCAGCTTTTTCACCCTTCAAGCTGCAGCATTGCAGGATATGTCCTCTTCAAATCCTAGTAGAAGGTTTGTCGCAACTGCCAAGATTCGGTCCTTATGAACCTAGCTATATCAGCCTTGCGAAGAACTCTCAGCCGTGTCAATGCCGAGAGTCAAAGCGCGGACAGGGTCTTGTGATATGCCGGTAGATTGTGTCAGTGCGATTCGTTAGTAAATACGAGGCATATACCGGACTGACTCGGTTCGGGAAGAGATCACCGTCAAGGGCCAATGAGACTTGCTCAATCCATTCAACCAAGAAACTAGAGTTGTTTAATATCGTTAGTAACCCCGAATACGAGGTGTCAGACACTCTCCAGGCCATACCCTGACGGCGCAAGACAGATATAAGCTCCTATGTACCCCAGTTTCCACCTAATGATCCATACCAAGAAAAATGGCCCGGTTCGCCTTTCTACTGCTGGCCTCGGCCATCTCCCTTACCACAACAGCATCCAGCCTCAAGCGCGATACTCTCAAGCCCTTTCAAAATGGCCGCTTCGCTCCTTCGAATAATGCATCCACCTCGCTAGCATACGACAACAATCTTCTCCCGCGGTACTACGATTGCTTACCAGGTGCCCATTTGTGCTCCGCCGGCCAGTGCTGCGACTTCACCTGCTGCTTAGATGGATCCTGCTGTCCGGCCGCTCAGCTTTGCTACAACGACGTGAAGCCGTCCAAGGGACCGACGTATTGTTGCGAAGTGTACACCGAGAAGGAATGCGATACGAGATGTGTACCGATGGAGTCGGAGTGTTGCGGTGATGGGTTCTATGTGTGTCTTTCCTTCTCGTTGTTGCTTATGGATGGCGCTAATAGTTGCAGTGCGAGTATGGCTATGCGTGTACTTCAGGCGGATGTGTAAGTCTGATGCCTTGAGGGCAGAACTCGTGCTGACATGGACAGTGTAAATGGGGTCATACATGCAGTGGAAGCTACGACGATGTTGGGGGTGGTGGCGGTTCTGGAGACCACGATTCAACGACCTCGTCTACGTCTACGGGGGGAAAGGTGTCTACTACCTCGGAATACACCGCTCACACAGAGGAGCACACAACGACATCATATTCCGATACAGAGTCAACGACAGCTTATTCCACGGCGAAATCCGAGAGCAGCACTCGAACGAGGTCAACGGATTCTGATTACGCGACGGACACTACTGAGACGGATTCATCATCCGCAACCTCAACATCAACCTCATCTCGCAAGACGACGACAAGTTTTCCCACATTGTCAATTTTTACCCCAACCGGGACTTTTGTTCCGGTGCCAGTACCTACCGGTCCAGTATCTCTCTCGGGAGCAAGCAAGAATAGCTTCTCGAGCCTCAATACAGGATTGTTGGTGGTCGTGGCTGCAGCTGGTTGGTATTTTGCGCTGTGATCCGTGGACTAACTCGACACACCTGGGGGCATCTGACCAATGTAAATATCGAGTGGTTGTCAGATGGTATGATCTTTAATGCAGAACCGAAATCAATAAGTGAATTTCATGACTCAAGTCATAAGAAGATCCATCGTCCTAGAACTTGGGCAGCTGCGTCACTACTATTCAACAGAAGATAACCAGATGCACTAGGCAAAGCCGCCAGCACAAAACGGAATTCTTGCACTACTGAGCGATATGCTCTGGCTCCTTGATCTGAGAGGCCTTGCCGAGTACAAGGAGCCAGTGATTGCTATGCTGCAGCGTTACAAAACCTAGGCAAGGGGCGCTCTCAGGAACGTGCATGATGCAAGGTATTGGAACCCAGCCATATCCACGAATGAAATTGGCCACAGAGCCAGAGTATAAATTCTGCTAGGAAACAGACAGAATTGTCCATTCTTTATCACCGGGTTAGGTTCAAGTCTACTGTCCCCAACGTAAGTCGGCACTCGTATTCATACATCAGTGAACTGACCCTATAGATCAAGATGCAATTCAGCCCTATCTTCACCATTCTTGCGCTGGCAGCGGTTGCTTTTGCTCAATGTGATTCTCCCTTTCTCCCTTCCTGGCTCGTGGCTAACATTGGTAGATGATGACCCCTGTGGCAGTGCCAAGAGGTGTGATTTGTGAAGCCGATTGTCCCAGCAACGATTTCTTCCCTATGATTGATCAGTGTGATATTGTGGATGGCAAGCCGGACTGCTATGTCAATTTTTACTGTGCTTGATGTAGCCTTGGAGGACATTTTTTTGATAGAAGATAATTAAACATTACGCTTAATTAGAATTATGTCAGGAATAAACCATTCCCAACTAAATTAGAGCAAATTGCGTGATTGATAGTGGATCCTTAATTATCCCCACTTCTCCCACCTTTGCAATAAATATAATCATGTACTCTGGTCCAAAACATCGAACCTATGCCAAACAGCATGAAAAGCATAATGACAAGTCCCTTCCCGAGCATCCTGGTCTCCCCGGCCGAATTCCACGCCGCCGTGAACTCACCCACAACCACCCGGCGGATCATCCCTGTAGCTGCCGGCCGGCGCGCAGTACACACCCCCGCCTACCATGCCCAGCATATCCCCAACTCCATGTATGTCCTCACCTCAACCACCCAGCACCTTCACTTAGTAACAAGCACAGCTTCTTCGACATGGATCTCATCAGAGATACCACCTCGCCATACCCCCAGATGCTCCCCACGGCTTCACACTTCGCATCCTGCGTAGCAGCCCTAGGGATCACCAAGGATGATGTGCTAGTCATCTACGACGCCGTAGACGTGGGGATCTACAGCTCGCCGCGCGTCGCGTGGATGTTCCGCTTCTTCGGCCACGAGGCCGTGCACGTCCTGAATAATTTCCGGGTGTACGTTAGCCAGGGCTACCCCGTTGCCAGCGGGGAGATGCGGCCCCTCCCGTCTGTATCTAAGTATCCTGTTTCTCCGCTGGACAGCGACCGGGTGATTTCGTTTGAGGAGTTGAGGGAGCTAGTTTTGGCTCGTGAGGAGGAAGTTCAGATTGTGGATTCGCGGATAGCGGGGCGGTTTAGCGGGGAGGAGGACGAGGCGGTGGCTGGGTTGAGCTCGGGGCATATGCCGCGGGCGGTTAATGTGCCGTTGGCGGCGATGCTGGAGGACGAGTCCAGAACGTTTTTGCCGGTGGAGAAGCTGAAAGAGGTGTTTGAGAGGGCGGGAGTGGATGGGCGGGCGCCGTTGGTGTTGACGTGCAATTCGGGGGTGACGGCTGCGGCGCTGGATTTGGCGCTGGGCGAGACGGGGTTTAGGAATCCAAGGCGGATCTACGATGGGAGTTGGATGGAGTGGGCGAGGAGGGTGGATCGGCCGGAGTTGATTGTTAAGGATGTGCATTGACTGTAGACTGCATATAGAAGCTATATCATGAAGAGACCGGCTCCTCGATCCAATTGTGTATCGCTCGGACCACTTGGTCGCTGTTCTTCTCCAGGAACATCATATGCCCGTTGCCATGGATGCCGAGCTCCTCTAGCTGCAGGTGCGTTGTTGGAACTCCGGCTTGTTGCAGAAATCGAGCAGTGCACCAGTCGTGCGTGGCATGATACGATGCTTCGCTTGTAACGACCAATGTCCGAATTTTAGACAGGTTGGCGAGCCGTCGAGGCGGAGGGTCATCGGCCTGGATCACGCAATCTGACGTGGCACTGGAGTTGGATTTGATCGTTTGTTTAACAAAGTCCGCGTCTGGCTCAGTCACTGCGGGAGAATACGTGAGCGGTATATCAGTCAATCCGTACGGACGGGCTGGTCCACTCCCAAAAACTGCATTTTGAAATGGCGGACCGGACGGTTCAATTGATACGATGGAATGCACCAGATCCGGTTTCCTATCCGCCGTAACCCAAGCCATCGATCCTCCCTGGGAATGAGCGACAAGTATCACCGGCTTGCCGATGGCGTCTAGCAATGCAGCGCCAGCAGGCTGCATGGAGGCCTCTTGAGCAGCGTTCTCAGCGAGCGAAGGAACAGTAGATGCGTAATACGCATCGAATATGGAATCGCCCATAACACCCGTTCCGGGCCACTGGGTGTGAAGACTCGCCTGTGGCCAGAGGTTGTATTTCGCCGTGGCAGTAAAAAACTTCTGCAGATGCTCGGCGCTGTATTTCCTCAGCTGTCCGTTTTTGATATCCCATGGACTCCTGCCGCGGGAGGTGTGATCGAGCAAGTAGCATTCGTAGCCTTGGGAGAGAAAATAAGATGCCCATCCTTCGCCTCCGTCGGGTTTGTTCAGCCAGTTCTGGTCGTGTTAGTTATGTGAGACTTTCAGACAAGGAAGGTGTACCGTTGCTGTTTGATCGGCTCCATGGATAAACACAATCGGATACTTTTTACGCGGGCCATCGACAGGAGTAAGCCGTTCGACGTACATCTGGTTGGTGAAGGTGTGTTCTCCATCGTTGTTGAGGGTGTAATTGCCTCCGACATAGAGGTATGTTCGGCGATGCGGTGTTTCGATAGCGCCTGCAAGCAGAGAAAATGCTATCACTAGAAGATGAAGTTTTGCCATGATGAACGGTGGATGAAAGTGTAAAATTTGAATTGAGAGGCAGAAGAGGAGAGTTGATGATGCTCAGCCCCGCATCTGCATGGATGTGATATCGCTGCGGCAACGGCAGATGCTCTCCCATATGTAGTACGAACTGCAGCTAATCTACCAAAGAGGTATAGATATGCGTTCATCTCATGTATCCAAAGCCATCAATCTTGATTACCGTGCTCAGCTAAAGATGCTTCATACCGCTGTAGCATTTCCTTCCCGTTTTTGATTCCCGGTTGGTACCTTTCTACCTCCTCCTCCACAAGCTTTTTGGCCTGTATAGCACTGTCTGGTAATTGTAGAGCCCAATCTCTGAGCGCTTCAAGTTCGCGTTGCATCATGGCCATGGTATCTTTCTGCTCCCGAATACTAGTGACTGTATCCATTCTGCCAAGGGAAGCAATTCCGGTAGCAGACTGAAAGGTCCTCCCTGGACATAGCCGGTCTGCGTCTGCTCGGGCCGCTTCGTACGCCTTTTGATAGATACCAACCTCCCTCTTTGCCTGCTGCAAGCTGATCTGATAATATTGCGCACGGACAGGGTCAGTATCGACAAACTCGTTCGCCCAGTTCTGGTACGTTTCCACTCTCTCCCGCTTCCACTTGTACTCATGCCGAAGCCTCTCCAGCTCCCAGAGAGGGAGATCCTCCTTCCTCTGACATACTCCCCCAGGACACAACCTTTCCGCTTCTTGTTCAGCCTTGGTGAGAGACTCAATGTTCCTCGCAGACCATTGCTCTTCCCTCCACAGCTTGAAACGCGCCGCCCACTCCTCATCCGTAGACTTGGCCGCCGCAAGTTCAGCCTGGTGTGCCGAAATGCGGCCCTCCGCACGCTTCCTCCAGAGCTTGAATCTCTCCACGCATCGCAGTGGTTCTTCAGCGGTGTACTTGGCGCTCGAAGCACAGTGCGCCCTCGCTTGAGCAATCTGAAAGCTGTCCCCGTCGAAATTATCCGGCCAGCCATCCTCACGGTACAGCTCTTTCAGGGGTATATCATACCGGCTCCATTCACCTGCGCAATGCTCGCCACCAGGTAGCTCGTCTAGTGAACGATACCAGCGGATAATATCGCGTAAAACATCCCCAGCGCGACGACTGGGTATATGCTCGATGTCATTGCTGTTCTTGCTTTTCTTTGGTTCCTTTTCTTCTTTATCTGAATCATCGGAGTAAGTGACTGGGCCATCCGCCAGCGCAGGATCAGTAGTGTTCCACCACTCCTGGTCGATAATCCAAATCCGATGCCGCCGCGCATCGTAGATGATCACGCTCTGGTGATTCCCCAGCCGCGACAACGGGGTCACCCACGGCCGAATGTACGGCCCATTCTCATCGTCGTAGTCATCACCAACAGGACAGCCGTAAAATGGATCTCGACCCTGCGTCACGTCTTCCTCGCGCCGGAAATCCGTGAATGCGCCACCGTGGAAGAAATCCTTGTTACCGGCAACATGAGTGTTCACATAGGGCAGGATGCTGTAGAGGTAGATGATGGCAGGATCAATCTTCAACTTTTCGTACAATGGGCGCAGATGGTCGATATTATGTGGGCCTTGTTCGATTCCTGCTGGGTCGAGATAGCGCATCTGGGCAAAGGTCTGGTAGATTTCTAGCATGAGGTTGGCAACCTCGTGCAGGCGCGCTTTCTGATCCTCGGGCAATTGGTCATCCATTTTGTTTGGATGTCGGTAGCTGTGCATTTACCTTGCATCCAACAGATTACACCTTATATATCGTCTCCAGGATATGTATGTGCGTGACAAGGAACGAGATTATGGTACCTAGGCATCAAGGCCCACAAGGCAGCCATTGTTGCCTGATCCTAGCCAGTTCCACCACACAGAGTCTAGACCGTTGGGAGTCGAGGCTCATATTTTCTGTTTAGAATGTGATGAATGGTTGAATATGAGTTATTAAGACGTATAAAATAATATAGTGTGATTTGACAATGAGGGTATCATATTTCCTGTACGCCGGTGTCCATGAAGTGTGGTACAGGGTAGAGTAATTATATATATTTGGGTCGGTTAGACACTGGGCTGTACAAGGAGCCCAGTCGACCATCCTTCAGTTTGAGATATGTGATTTGAGATAGCAATCAGGTCAGTCCATACGGAGAACCCTTAGGATTTTCATTATTACTACTGACCAAGTGGTATCGAGAACACAGATTCTCATGTGTTTTATGGCATGTGGCTGTGTTTGGGACTGATTGGTGGGGTTTCACTTCACCCGGGGATAAGCGCTGCTTGTTTGTTCTTAGCTTTCTCAGCTCGTGATCAACAGCTTCACTCTCGTCACCAACTTAATTTCATCTTTATATCGATCGAGCCAGAACATCGCGTCTCAACGGGTCCGATAATGGGCGGTGTACGAGGAAAGTCTCAAGGTTGCGGAACCTGTCGAGCACGTAAAATCGCGGTAAGCCGAAATCCATCCAGATAGAGCACACCGGACTAACAGACTCAGTGCGGACAAGAAAGACCCCGCTGCAGCCAATGCKTCAAATCCAACCGCCAATGCGCGGGCTACCAGCGCGACAAGGTGTTTGTCCTGGTTCAACCCGACGCCAAAGAATCTGCCCGCACAACCCGCCAGGAGGCCCAGGACATCGCAAAGATCAACCGAAATCCACTCGATCAAGGTCCCGGACATGGGATTATCATGAGTTGCAGTATTCGCCAACACCTCCTGGACGCCTTCATCGGGCGCTGTCTCCCTCACCCGCGGTTCCGCGCACGCAGCTGGTACAAACCGTGGCTCTTTCTCCTCGCCGACATCCCCACCAGATCCAAGGCGCTGGAATTCTCGACTTTGGCCATTTCCTCGGCGACCATCGGTAGGAGATTCAACGACAGCGCTCTCGTCCATCAGAGTCTAAGGGCGTACACGAGGGCCCTTCGCGAGATGCAAAAGGCGCTCTGGAGCGGCACTCTGGTACGCGAAGATGAGACGCTGGCCGCGTGCTTGGTTCTGAGCTTGTATGAGCTCATGGAGTGTCCGGATAACGGGGCGGATGCGTATCAGAGCCACTGCAGAGGATATCTGTCGCTGGTCAAGGCGCGTGGGATGGATGCTCATACGGATGGAATCGGGCATGATCTTTTCGTGGGCGTGAGATTACAGGGGGTGCGTTTTATCCCTTCTCCTGGGAAGCTATTACTGACACGGTAAGATCCTTGACGCGATTGGCAACCGCGTGCCGAATTTCATTTGTGATCCTGTCTGGTGCCGGGATCCGTGGGCCTCGCGACCGAAACGAATGGCCGACCGCATTGCGGATTGTCTCGCTCGCATGCCGTCCATTCTGCAGCGATATGACCAATTGTCATCTCTGCACCGGAAGGAAATTCTGGATTCAACATACGGGCTTGTTGAGGAATGTCTGAGGATCGATCGGACTTTAGAGGATATCTACGAGGACCTTCGGCTTCAGGTAGAGGGTCCGTTGTATTGGTCTGTCCTCTCGCCGTCGTTTAGAGACAGTGTTCACGACCAAGGCTTGTTTCCTGTGATATACGAATTTCCCGATCTCAAGACTGCAACGTTGTTGATGCTGTATTGGGCCACGAAGACTATGCTGTGGGCTACGCTGAGCAACCTGTACGATGTCATTCGTCTACAGGGGGTCCATGCCATCACTGTCCCCATCGTTGAAGTAACCGGTGAGAAACATGAGCCGAGTCCCAATGGCGACGAAGATATTTCAACCGAACGAAATTCCCCGACTCTGGGCGATGGACAAAACTACTTGCGAATGGCACGCAACGTCTGCCAGTCGGTGGAGTACTGCCTGCAAGAAGACATGTCGCTTCTGGGAATGCTTGCCGCGTCAATACCCGTAATCATTACAGTATGGGCTATCCGGTATCGGCACAATGACGAAGCAGAGTTGGCCTGGTTGATGGGCGCATCGCAGAAGATGCGCCAGGGGCTGCAAATGTGGACACACATATGAGGATGGCCAGAAATGACGGCCGACTTCGAGAATCTCCAAGCCACTAAGGTACCAATCCATTGAGTGGCACAGCCTCAGAGGCGGAGTCACCGGTCGACTTCAAAGGGAGAAAAGAACCTTGTCAGCCCTAAGCTTTTTGAGGCATAAGAGGCATCCACCGCGCTAATCCTGTTTGGGTCAAAACCTGCGAGCCACGTGACTTGGGTCTCAGCTGTTTACGAGAAGATGCTGTCGATTGGATATTGCAGCAAACTTGGATTAGAGAGAAAGTGGGCTACCTGCGGTGGCTGAACGAGGTCTATGGAATGCGTGAGCTATAAAGGTAGAGTGTTCTCCCCTGAAACTGCGTTCTCAATCCACCAGCTATCACCCACACTCGCAATCCACCATCATTGTCTACTCTCATTTCAGTGATATCCTTCGTACACAATGCTTACAGATCATTCCAAGGTCGCCATTGCGCAGATTGTCTTTTATGTACCTGCCATAGTAGCCGCTGCGGTCCTTCTCTTCCACCGCCATGGCCGGCCCCGACAGGCCTGGATCATCCTCCAGGTGTTCTGCTTGAGTAAGTGCCTTCGTTCTACCTGCTACATGTTCAGTGAGCTGATAGTTGATCGCAGTCCGCGTCGCCTGCGCTATCGTCACCATACTCTATGAGAACACCCCGACAAGCGTCGGCCTCTACATTGCTGCCCTAATCCTCCTCAACGCCGGACTGCTGCCCCTGATTGCAGCGACTATCGGTCTTCTGCGGATAATGTATGTGCATTTCCAGACAAGGCGGGAACACTCTAACTCTTTTAGTATTGTTTACGAGCTCAAAAACAACAAGACCCTTAATATGCCCATGAGCATCTCTCGATTGTTGTTCATTGTCGGGATTGCATTGATCATCGCAGGCGGCTCCTTGACCGGGAATTACACGGATGCAGACTCGGTGAAGACGGGCCGTACGCTCACCAAGGCGGCGTATATTGTTGTTGCAGTCTTTATGGCTGGCCTGGTGCTTATCCAGTGGTATTTCTGGAGACAGTGTGCGAGTCTGTCGCGGGCAAGTCGAACGGTAGTACCCCCTCGGGTATGGTGCAAGGGATAATTCTAATGGTGGCTATAGGTGCTCAAGAGTATGGCTCTGGCTATACCGTTTATCATTGTGCGGATCGCCTGGCTTTTCCTGTCGATCTATCACCCTGACGACAAGAGATGGAGTAACCTGGGTGGAGACATTGGACCTTTCGTGGTCATGGCGGCGCTGATGGAGTACATCATCGTGTGCATATACATCGGGACCGGGTTTATGATTCCTGCTACTAAGGGTGTGACTCGTGATGGTGACCAGGAGCTAGAGCAAGCTGAGCGCGCAGGTGAAGGGAGCAGCCAATACGGGAAGCTCCATTCTCCTGAGCGGGCATGATTCATGACTCGACAACGGACTGATAGAACTTTTAATTGAGTACAAGGGTATATAGGGACTGACTTAGAACGAGAGACAATTACATAAAATCTATGCCATCCACACCCCCCTAAAAATGCGGCGTATTCAACGCCATCAAACACAACAACCCCCCAATCAACCCAGCAGAAGGCAACGTCAACACCCACCCACTGAAGATAAAACCAAGCTGCTTCCAATTCACCGCCCCCAAATCATAATTCATCAGCGCCACCCCCGTCGCCGCCCCAGTCAAACACTGCGTCGTCGACACCGGCAGCCCCAGCCTTGACGCAAGCAACACCGTAATCGCCGCCCCCAACTCCGTCGCAAACCCTCTCGTCGGCGACATCTGCGTGATCTTGTTGCCCAACGCCCGCACAATATGATACCCGTAGAACCAGAACCCAAGACCCAGAAGCAAGCCCGCAACCACAAGGAACCACACCGGCGTCGGCGCCTTGGTGTCCACCTCGCCGGCGCGGTACGTCGCATACACAGCCGCCCAAGGCCCCACCGCATTCGCGACGTCGTTGCTCCCGTGCGCGATCGACATCATCATAGCAGACACAACCTGGCAGTATGTCCAGAGGTGCTCGACGCGGTCGTCGTAGCGGCGCGCGCGCGAGTGGATGTCGCGCAGCTGGGCCGAGTCGTGGGTGACTACGTCGCGGGTGACACCCTGCAGGAGGAGGAACTTGGTCCAGCCAATCCACTTGTGCGGGTGTGTCCAGGGGAGGTCAGCGACGGGGTGGAGGAAGCGCTCGTGGGGACCGAGGTGTTTCTTGCGGGGTTTGAGCTCGGGAGTGGATTGTGCGGAGGCGGCGATGCGCTCGACGTCTTGTGTGGACTCGAGGAGTTTGGCGTCGGTGGGCTGGGACTGGTCCATAGGGGCCTTTGCTTTCTCGGCGTTGTGGGTGTGGGTTTTCGTGCCGGCTAGGACTTCGCCGTAGGCGTCTTCGTAGTAGTTTGTTACGAAGTGGTTGCCTTTGGCGGGGTAGTAGAGTGGGCAGTTGTCTTTTAGGAGCCAGGGGCCGAGGGGGAGGTGGTAGAAGCGGACGCGGGCGTCCTGTTTGACGAGGCGGCGGTGGAAGTAGGGGAGGAAGAAGACGACGCCGATGAGGAGGCAGCCCAAGAAGACGCCCAGGATGATGCCGACGGCTTTGCCGGCGCCGAATTCCTCGAGGGAGGGGGCGGTGGGGGCTTCGACGACGATGAAGAGGGCGAGGATGGCGCCCGTCGTGGCGAGGTAGACGGGGATCAGACGCATGGCCCACTTGAAGGGATCCTTGCGCTCGAGGACGGAGTATTTGAGCACGCCGAAGATGATGGCTGAGAAGCCGGCTGCGATGGCCGGGGCAATTCCCCACGACGCGGCAATCTGAGAGACACTGCCCTTGGTCCACTCCCAGTGGATAGGTGCCTGAGCGGCAAAACCCACACCGACCAGGGCTCCGACAATCGTCTGGGTGGTAGAGACAGGCCAGCCCATTCCGGTCGCCAGCATCAGCCAGGCAGCATTGCCCATTTCAGCGCAGCCCATTGCCAGCATGAGAGGGCCTGGCTGGTTTTCAAACCGGTCGATACTGATGATGCCGGACTTGATGGTAGAGGTCACTCGGGCTCCTAGAGCCACGGCACCGATGAACTCGGTACATGCGGCCAGGATACCGACCTGCCACATGCTCAGCGTGCGAGCAGCGACGGATGTGGCGTATGAGTTGGCCACATCGTTGGCCCCGTTACCAAAAGCACTGAAGACGAAGGTGATGGAGGTGAGGGCGAGGATCCAATCGTACTTGGCGGTTGCGAGGGGGATCATCTTGAAGTCAAGCTGCAATGACAGCCTTGATGGAGTGTGAGAAGGGAAATTGATGGATGATCTGGGAACTACAGACAACCAGAGGGACGCTATATATCGAGCTCGGCAGAAAGCAAGGATCTGCGGACTGCTCGCCAAGGCAGCTCGTGTCACGTGTGCTTCTGAGGCAATCTGAAAAGTTACCCAACTCATCACAACACCAACGTGAAGCCACAGCCCGTTCCCATTCGCTCGTTGCTTTGAAAATTCTAAGTAAGTTTCTTCCATGCAGGGGGGCGGACTTGGCGCCAAGGTCCGCCCAGCTCTCGGCGGACCACCACCACGAAACTATCTGCAAATCACATTGCATTCCCCAGCACGTTCCTGAGGTGCTGGATATCATTCAAAGCCAAGACAGTTGTTAACGTTGGCCAGGTCTGGAGGTGATGTCCGTGTCGCCACTTTGGGTATCTCGGCGCGTGACTTGGCAGGTTGTTTCGAAGTCTGTTGCACTAGCTCGATCCTGAATGCTACTCGTCGACGTCGGTGGCTAAGAAGGAACACTTCCACCCGCAGCCATGGCGTCGCGGCCCGATTGACAGCACGAGGCAGCACGTGGGATATTCTCGAATCGTAGGGGTGCATGGTGCAAGAAGTTGCTTTGAAATCATTACGACATTCTGGATTTATTTGCAGCAAAGAGTTTGTTCCTGCTGTAAACTTGGAAAAGATGGAAGACAGGTTCTGATTCGGCCACCCAGCTAGCCAGCGTCTTGACGACGATGCTTTGGAGGCAAAGGAAAAACAGAATGCGAGACGAGCCAGTTCTCGATGATCTTGGCACTAATTCGAAAGCAAGAAAATTTCCAGCTTTCCTGAGGCTAGATATAGTGCCCCTTACTTGCCTCTGAGGGAAAGTTATTCTCTGTAGCCGCTGCATGCGCATATGGCAATGTGTGACGTAGTGCGATACAAGGCCGCCTCTTATGTCTCTCATGGGTCTAAGAGTAGACTCCATTGCATTGGTTGTGAATTAGAACTGAGTAATTTAGAATCTACCCTCAGTCAACTGCATACCTTCTATCCGGGTCATAGAGCAACGTCTCCTTCGATCAACTGCCAATCATGTTCACAGTCCCATTAGGATAACTTGAATACCGGAATTAAACTCTGAGTACAGCCCACTCTCAATCAGGCAAGGAACTTTTCCTTGTTCAAATCCACCCATTGATGGAAGCGCAATGACGGTCTCCCGGTGTACCTTTGAATATTTCCCGACGCCTCCTCATACCACGGTATATTGAAGAAACCCCCAGATTCCTCCTGCTGGCGCAACTGAACAAGCAGGGTCTTCGCCACAGGCTCCGGCAGCCCATTCTCCGTCATCATAACCCGCAGTGCCTCCTGCTCGTCCACCTTGGTGACCTTGACTTCCTTGCCAACGGCATTGCCAATCACACCAAGGGCCTCCCTAATCGACATCTTCTCCGGTCCGACAAGACCGACAAAACTCCTCTTGCTCCCATCTTCGCCAGCTGGCAACCCCTTCACCAACAACACCCCAGCAACACGCCCAATATCCTCTGGAGCGATATAATCAAACCTGGCCGCGGGATACGCCACCTTGACCTCTCCCTCGAGAACCCCACTCCTCCACCACATCGAATTGCTAGCAAAAAACGCCGGTCGAATAGCCACATACCCATCCTCCCCGAAAACATCCCGTAGATTCACCTCCACCTGCGCATGCGTAAACGCAATAAA